TAGTAAATATTTATATATAAATATATGTATATATATTGCCTTAATCTTCAGAGCAACCTAATAAAGAAGGGGTTACAGGATCCTCATTATAACTCTGAAACAAAGACATTACTTGTATCATCCTCATTTTGTGAAAGAAGAAACATACTTAGCTGGCTTCTTTAGGCAAGGACTAATATTTGTCTGGATTCTGGTGGGATTGCTGTGCCTCTGAAGTCTGCCTCTTTGGGAGTCCAGTTTTGTCATTTCACCCATGGTTGATCTAGCTCATATACCCAAAGTGTGGATGTTCCCCAAAGCTCTTTCATGAGCTTTCTTCTCTCTCTACACTCACAGCCCCAGGAAACATCATCCATTCTCACAGGATGCCATGTTGTCCCCACTGAAGACTTTAGAAGCTATTGAGTCCAACCCATACTTGAGCAAGAATCCTCTTTATTAACATACCTGGAAGGTTATCATCCATCCTTTGTTTGAAAACTCTAGTGAAGGGGAACCACTACCTTTTAAGGTCCTTCCACTCTCAAAAACTCTTACTTGTTGGGAATTTATTCCAGTCTCCCTGAAGTTTCCTTCTACTGCTCCAAGCTCTGCCCTCTGGAAAAGCAAAATAAGCATAGCCCCTCTTCAGCATGACAGTGCTTAAATACTTAATACTTATCATGTCGGCTCTAAGTCTCCTCAAGATTAAACATTCCAAGTTCCTTTAGCCTGTATTCAAGTGACCTGAATCCCAAAACCTGACTGACCACTCTGGTTGCTTTCCTTTGGATACTCACTAGTTTATTAGTGTCCTTCCTAAGCTATGGCACCCAGAACTGAATCCAATACCCCACCTGTGATCTGAACAAGCATGTCTTCATTCTTGCTTCTATTTATACAGCTTAAGATTATATTTGCTTTTTTGACTTCCATATTGCACTATTGACTGGCATTGAATTTACATTTTACTATGACTCCAAGATCTTTTTCAAATAAGCATCTATCTGGATAGGACTCCCCCTTATACTTGTGACAGTGACTTTCTGAACCCAAGCATAAGAATTTACATTTATCCAAATTATATTTCATCTTTTCCATTCAGCCAAATGTTGTAGCCTTTTTGAATTCTGTCCCATCATCTGAAAATATAACGTATATGCCATAAATGTTGTTGTTGTTGTTGGTCCTTCATTCTTGAAGAGGAGCATGACATCAGGGAGGTGATGCCATGACATGCAACTGAATTGGATTTGAGTGAGGGAGGGCTGTGTAAAGTCACCAGCCATGAATGAATGAATGAATGAATGAAAAAGTCACTGTGCTAAGGCTGGGGGATACAAATATAAAAGCTAAGATTGTTCCTGTTCTTAAGGAGTTTGTATTCTAATATGGAGAGACAGTGGATGATGGCAAGAGGAAACCAGGGAAGGGCACTTTGATCTCTAAAGTTACTGGAATGGGGAGTGGGGTTATAGAGGAATAGATTACCCGCTTCCAGGAATAATGGCAGGGTTGATTCATAGTTTCAGAACTGGAAGTGTGCATGTGTATGGGGAGAGAGAAGGATGGATTGGAAAGGGTATTTAGCTGTCCAGAAGATTGCCAGGGAGGGCAGAGCAAAGAAAGGAATGACTAGGGCTTTCCTGAAATAATGGGTGGAGAAAGGTAGTATCAGAGCATGACAGCTGAACTCCAGGGCAAAAGTTCCAAAAATGAAATGATCCAAACCTCTAGGACATAGTCTCTTTAGGTTTATTCTAGACCTGTGTTTCTTTAATTTTTTTCAACTAAAAAAAATCCACCTTCTCCCCCTCCCATTTCCAATGCTACCAAATAAAAACAAAACCCTTATAACAAATATGTATAGTGAAACAAATATGTATAGACAAATTTCTATATTGGTCATACCATCCCAGAAGATCTCAATCTCAATCTTATCTATCTCTTCTCTGTCAGAAGGAGGATAACATACTTAATTATATCATGAATCCCTTTGGACATCACAATTGGACATTGTATTAATAAGAGTTCTTAAGTCTTTCAAAGCTGTTTGTCTATACAGTATTATTGTCACTGTATAAATTGTTCTCCTGGTTCTGCTCACTTCACTCTCCATCAGTTCATACAACTCTTCCCAGTTTTCTCTGAAACCTTCCCTTTCATCATTGCTTACAGCATATAATAGTATTCCATCACATCTATATACCATAATTTGTTCAACTATTCCCTATTTGATGGACACTCCCTTAGTTTCCAGTTCTTTGCCACCACAGAAAGATAGCTCCATATTTAGAAAAAAAAAATTCCCCAAAGCCAGCATTGATATTTTCTTCCCATTTCTCACAACAAAGAAGTGCAATAGCTTTTTGAGAGAGGGCAATTGCAATTCAAAGTCACTGCCTGTTACCTTCCCTAAAGATTCTGGCTGCAATTTATAGCCTCATTTCCCCATATCAAGTCAACTAGTAATAAGTAAACTAGACCAAAAACGGAGGCATCAAAGGTGTAAATTTTCATTATCAATCAATCAATATATTATAAATACAAAAACATTCTTTGTCTTAGCTCCTGGCAAGCAGGTAAGTTTGTCCCTCAGCTTCTTTTTCTTCCTTCTTTCAGGAGAAAAGACATTAGCCATCCATGCTAACATCCAGGGTCTTTCCTCTGGATTGAAAGGAAGTCAGGGGATAGTTCCCAGAATAGCTCCAAAGAGATTTTAAATTCATAGACCATATCATAAACCATAGACCATATCATTCTCTTATCATAAAAACAGAGACAGGACACCATAGCTCTTCCAGATAGTAGTTCAGAGCACTCCATTTTTGGTGGGCCATGTAATCAACTGTCTCTAGCTAAATTCTAAGGAGACACTCAAACAAAAAGGGAGTTACCATAGCAATTCAAGATCCAAGGAGTGTGGATTCAAAGGTGGGGAGGGGAAAGTCTGCTTTCCCTTCCAAAAGAGAAACTGAGGGAGCTGGGGGATTGTTGTAACTGAGGGACCTATCTTTCCTGCTGGAAAATGGGTCCCAGCACAGTTCTGGGCACATAGTAGGCACTTAATCAATGTTTTTTCACTGGCTAACTTACTGCTATCTCCCATTCCAGGTACCCAGATTCCAAGATTTACTTTCCAAATAAAATCTTTCAGCCCTCTCTTCCAACTGATGTTATACAATTGCATCTCACACAGTCCATTCTTGTACTACCTTTTGCAAAGACTTCTGAGAAGCCTGAAGGCAGAAAGTTGGGGTCTCAACTCATTTCTCCAAGATCATGACATAATCTTGGAGGCTTTGTTCCTGCTCAGATTATCTAACAGCCCTGGGTCCCTTATCATCTGAGAGGTCATACAAAGGGCCTACCTCAACAAACACTCTTTTTTGTTTCCCTTGGTGAAGTGTGGAATATGGGTAGGAAAAAAGAGATCTTCAGAGAAAGAGGGAAGGATGAGGAAAAAAAGAGAGACAGAGAGAAAGAGAGAGAGAGAGAGAGAGAGAGAGAGAGAGAGAGAGATATTAACTGAAGAGAGATGGGGGAGAGAGAGAACAACTCTCATACTACCAAGAGGCCTAGGTAAAGGCTGCAACAGAAATAATGAGGCAAAAAGAGGAACAAGTCTGACCTTTTGTGAAACTCCTCTCCTAGTACCACTTCTGTCCCAATCAGTTGCAGTCATTTTGAGAACTTAGAAAGCTTTCACAAAAATGTTATTTTGATCAGTGATTCTAGAAGAAAGAGGCCTTTATTTGGCACATTTTAATTCATTGTCCTCTGAAGTAGGTATTTTAGATATTATTCCCATTTCAAAGAGAAGGAAACTGAGGCTGAGGGGTTTTCAATGATTTGTTTAAAGTCACGCACCTAAGAAATGTTAGAGGTCAGTATTCAAAACCAGATCTTCTTGTCTCAAACTCCTAAATTCTTATCTGCTATTCAATGCTGCCTCTCTCCCAAAGAATGAAGAAATGGTTGTTCTTCCTGAGATGAATACATGCTTTCTAATTATAAGTTTGTTCTCTATTGTTGTTACTTTACTTTGTCAATTGAACAAGCATTTCTTAGGTCCCTACTATGTGTAGAGCAAGGGTTCTTAACCATTTTTGTATGTGTCATGAACCCCTCTGGCAGTGTAGTGAAGCCTAGGGACCCCTCCTCAGATTGATCTTTTCAAATGCATCCTAGAAAATATATAGGATTAAAAAAGAAACCAATGATATTGAAATAGTTAGCAAAGTATTAAAAAAAAGACAAATACAAATTCATAGACCACAGGTTAAGAACCTCTGATGTAGAGCATGTAGTAAACTCTGGGTAAGATATAAAGATAAATAAAGAAGAATCCTACTCTCATAGCCTTTCTACCTAGTTGGCAATAAGAAACACAATCAAATATAATATAAATCCAAACATGATATGAGCAAAGTACTATGTAACAGAGCATGAGCAAAAAGGCAGGTGTATGGTTGTGATGGAATACTACTGTGTTATAAGAAATGAAGTGCTTATTGATCTTAGAAAGGCATGGAAAGGCTTGCACAAAATGGTGAAGAGTGAGGTGAGCAGAATCAAGAGAACATTGTATATAGTAATAGCAATGTTGTTTTAAGAATGACTTTGAACAACTAAGTCATTTTGACTGTTATAAATGCACAAATTAAAAATAAAGGACATGTGAAGAGAGACACTATCTGCATCCAAAGAAACAACTGATAAGTAGAAGTATGTATAGAATAATTTTACATATATATACATATACACACACACACACACACACACACACACCTATTTGTGTCTAATGGTAGCCATCTCTAGGGTAGAGGGGGGAGGAAGGTAAGAAAAGACAAAAAGGAAAAAAAGAAACTTATGTGATGACTTTCTTTATATTTGGAAAGAATAGCAAGTTGTACATGGTAGATTTGCAGTTTCATGTGCAATCATCTTTTTTTATTGTACTGTGTTATGGAAATGCTTGTTTTGTTCCTTGAATTGAAAATAAAATTTTTTTTAAAAAGACAGGAGATTCCTTTGTGACTTCCCAGATCAGGGAATGCTTCATAAAGAACATGGAATTTGAGTAGAACTTTGAAGGACTTCAATCAGTTCTGAAGTCTGAAAGGAAGAGTGTCATAGTAGACATACCATGAAGTCATGAAGACCCAGCTTTAAGACTTGCTTCTGAGGCATCCTCTATCATACTGTGTAAGTTACTCTCATTGTCCTAGTTAAGTGTCTAAGATTGTAAGTTAAAGAGAAGATTCCAACCTGTTTCCTCAGATAAGAGTTCTCTATGCCAATGAAATTGCCAATTGAGTACTCATCTTCTGTCTTTCAAAGATTTCAGATAACTGGGAATGATGGTAAGTGTTCCTGGCATGAACAAAGGCTTACAGATTGAATAGGGGCAACCTTTCGCACCATTTTGCAATGAAATTCCATTAACTCCCTAGTTAATGTTGCATTCAATGATCTATGAGTCCTTTCATCTCTGAAGTTCTGTAACTCTGGACTAAGTGTGAACACATCTGATCCTTAATACACAGGGTGGGGATAAGCAAAAACCAGAGTCAGCATTTATATACTGGGAGTGTATAATTAGCTGGACAATAGAGTTGGATTTTGTGGAGAGTTTTTTCTGATTCTATCAAACACCATATGTGTTTTTCAATAGTATTAAAAAGATGAAAGATTTATGAAGCATGTTTATCCTCTTTCCTGAAAAAATCCCTTCTTTTTCAGGAAGGCTTAGTTTGTCAGAGAGTCTTAACCCCTAAGGAAATGGGTAAAAATAATATCAAGAATCATCTGGACACACTAAAACAACATATATTCTGAGTGAAGAAAGATTGATTCATTCCACATGTTGTCCTACTCCAATTTAAATTAGTATTGGAGGAGTCAACACAGAAATATGACCTTTCCTAAAGTAGACTTTAGTACATCTGTAGCTACCATGTGTATAATGGCCATAATGATTGTTATGGTTATAATAATCATGTATAATGGTTAAGCTGTGATAGGGATAAGAATAGGGACTGGACCTGGGATTTCCTAGATCAGTCAATCAACTAACATTTATTGTAGGAATTATCATAAGTATAAGGAACTCTTGGATGAGCAGTATAGGTTGGCATCTTCTCTGTAACTTATAGTCTTAGAAGGTTGCTTATGTGGCACATACTTTGGGACAACTATATTAACTCCCATTTGCATGGACAAATTGGGTCCCAGAGTCAGTGGTTAGTCCTGAAGAATTGGGGTGAATCTTTTCTAAGGCTATATAGAGATCATGAGTCCCCACAAATGTGCTTCCTACGGGGATCGTTAGTTGATATCAATTAGTCAGACCTAAAAAGCTTGTAGAAAGAGCAGGGGAATGTTCAAAATGCCGCTTCCCCCAATATCTGTTACACATTCTCCCTCAAGTATATACAGAGTCCAGTAGAAAGTGGGCTCAGACTTAGAGGAAAGAGGTAACTCATAACTCCTGAAATTCCTTTTGCTGGGGTCCTCAAGATGATCCCCAGAGATATGCTGTAGCCTTTGTGTTGGACTTTGTAATGAGAGGAGAGAGACTAGGACCAAGGTTGAGACCTAGGACTGTGCTCCTCCCTTCCTAGTCAGTTCTTACTCAGGGATTTAAATAGAATCCTTTATCCAGTCTGCTGCCAGACTTACAAATTCTCTTGGTTTTGAACTGGCTTGATATCCACCAGGCAATTCAAATTTTTCTTTCTGTAAAAGTGATTTCTCTAAAGTGCTTATCTGACCATGTGATCCTTCCCTCCCCCAGGTCTCCCAGCAATAAATTTCAGTGACTCCCTGTCATCTTCCAGATCAAACATAAAATCTTGTTTGACATTCAAGGTCTTTCATAACCTGCCCCCTCCCCCAATCTTTCAAATTTTCTTTCACTTTACTTGGCCCGGCACACTCCATGAACAGATGACACTGGCCTCCTTGCTGTCACACACACAAGCTACTCCAGGCATTTTCACTGGATATTCCCTGTCCCTGGAATTCTGTCCCTCTTCATCGCTACCACCTGGCTTTCTGGACTTCTTTCAAGTCCCATCTGTATCCCATCTTCAAGAAGTCTTGCACGTTGTCTGTCCCCATGAAAATGTGAGCTCTTGGAGAGCAGGGGCTATCTTTTGCCCTTCTGTGTGCCCTGGCACTAAGCACAGAGCCTAACACACAGTAGGTGCTTAATTGACTGATTCTCATCACTACAGTTTTCTTAGTTCTCGACTAATTAAGGTATCATTTTGACCCTTTGAACAGAGATGGAGTGACTTGTTAGTTTTACTCAATGGAGCCCTGCTCTTACGCCTAAAGCAGTGAAAAGGACTTGCTTGGGGTCACGCAGTCAGTATTTTTCAAGGATCAGATCTTGAATTCATGTCTATGTGGCCTTGAGACCAGCTCTCTATCCACTATTCCATAATAAACAGAATAAATTTCACCAAATAAAATAATTCTCAAAAGTTCCCGTCTACTGAAAACTCAAATTGACAAGTAAATAACTAAGATAAATGTCTCCAAAAGAGCCATAATTAGAGAGGAGTAAATGGGTTCTTGTCCCAGGGCACTGAAACTGAAAGGACACTTACAATCAAGGGTGTGCTCAGATGGCTCTAACCTACTTTTAATAGCCAATTGTTAAATGTTCAGTGTGGGCATTTATACCTCAAGCAATTGCTATGAATCAGGACTTGTTTGGTTGATTGCTAACATAAGGAAGTATTGATGCAAAATAAATTTTTTGGAGAGACTGGTTGTTAAACATTTACCAGCATACCCTTGAATTGCTCTATAAACATTGCTTGAACCCAGCAAAATTGCAGTAGGAAGGCTCAGAAAATTAAGTCATCATCAGACTGGAGGCTTGGCAACTGGAGGATAATAATAATAATAACAATAATAATTAAACAACTGGCATTGCTTTAAGGCTTGCAAAGTACTTTATATTCATTATTTCATTTGAGCCTAACAACACTCCTGCTTACAATCCTTCAGTGGGTGTAGAAACAACTGAACTTAGCACCTAGTTAGCAAGATTAATTAGCTTAAAATAGAATACCACACACCATGTTATACTCTCATTCCCTCTCTCCAGGAGCTCTTTTCCTGCCTCAACCTATCCTACCCCAACCCTAACAGTGAAATCTCCACTCCCGCAGAGCTGCTGTCCCAGGGTCATTCGTACTCTCTTGCTTCAGGGTTTTGTGTCATGGAGTCTCTTCACCTCCTCCAAATACGTTTGACTCAAGAAATTGATTTGAGGGTACATTTCCTACTATTTGAGTGTACCTTGACTGTACCTTGTGACATTTGTACCCAGGACCAAAATTACTAGTTGCAGCTCTTGACTATAAGAATCTTTTCCAAACCAACCAACCAATCCCTCACCCTCTCTCCCTTCCTTCCTGAAAAAAAAAAATCCATTCACAATTAGTTAATTGTAGGGCCACGAGTGAGAATTCAGTGGGCCCTGAGAATTCAGGACAAGTGGCTGCCTGGGAGTAAGATGTTATGCTTACAAGTCATTGCAGGTGCAAAAGGAGGCCACACTCCTTTCTTTCCCCTAGTCCTTCCTTTTCCTCTCTAGACAACTGTTCAATGACACGAGCTGAATATATTATCTTCCCAAACTGTTCTCTTGTACATCCAGGAAAAGGACTTGATTACTCAACCCATGTTTCCAGGAGTCTTATTTTGGCTCTTTTGTGGAGCCATAGGAAAAGTGCTGAGCATACTCTCTGTTTTGTTTTGCGATTTGCCTGCTGGGCACATTGTGTGTATCCCTCAAGCTTCAACAGATGATCTCTCCATTGAGGTTGTAACATATCTATATTTAGGAAATCATAAAAGATGTATAAGATGTAAAAATGAGGAAAAAGATAAAATGTCTTCTGGGTATGGGAAAAGAGCAAAAAATAATTGAGCTCTTTGGATGGCTGAATTCTCCTCTCACTCAGCAATTCATGCAAGTTGACTTCATTCTTAGCTGACCAAGTATTTCACCACATTATGTGATGTTAATAAACATTGAGGTGATGGGAGGAAATTAAGGAGGAAAGGTCGCCAGTGAAAATATTCTTCAAACAATCTATGGGCTCTCTTAGAGTTAGCATCTCTGGATCTCACACTAGATGAAATGTGAGAATCAAGGAAGGAATAGATACAGGGACATGCCTTTTGCAGCCGTCATATCTATTAAGGTCACATATAATCACCCATTCCTGGAGTGTTGTCAGCACATGAGCTTTCTGGCAACACTGACAGCTCCTTCCAAATGGAGGGTGGTTTTCATGGTTTTCTTGCAGGCCCGTTGCCCATGGATGTGATGTTGAGGCTTCTGAATTCCAGAGGCAGACATTACCAGAACAAACTCTGCTTTGTTTCACCAGGACATGTGTTGCTGTGAAGAAAGTAAAAGGCAAGAGATTTAGAGATTAAAAAGAAAATAAAAACAAATTAGAGCATAGGAGGTAAAGGCAAAACTAAAAGGGAGAGGTGAAGAATATAGAGGCAAAGACCCGTACAAATAAGACCAGTGGCCTTATTAAGCCTTCACCCTCATTTTCTGGTATCACTTTACATTTGTAATAAACAATACATGTAAGTACTACATCATTTTGTGTTTGTATTCTGCCCTATGAATATTCAGTACATATTTGTTTATGTTGCTTTTAGGTTTTGAGTTCCTAAAAGTTTTTGTCTAAGTAGCCCTAGCAGCCTCACATCATGCCTGACACATAGTAGGCATTACTGCCAAACATAGAGTAGGAATTTATTAAATGCTCATTGAATTGAATTAAAATAGATACTAATTTTCTTTATACAGGGTTGTAATGAGAATCTGAAGAGATTATGCACAGGGGAAACCCTTTGAAAACTCTGCTTATACAAATGCTAGGCATTACTATTATCATTATTTTTCTTCACAATTACACCCCCAAGGGTGCTGTCCACAGCTTGATTAAGTATATGCATACCTGGATTAAATACCTTTGATCCTTGAGGGATGAAGAACACTGGATTTAACCCTTCCTTTTTTTTTTTTTAAAGGAAGTAAAGCTAATCACTTCCCTTGTTTAGCTGTCATGAAATAATGGATACCTTAGTATTGTTAATGCAACACTCTTTGGGTTTCTCTAGAGTCCTTTATTCAAAAAAACTGGCTTTCTCAAGAATTG